GATAACTCAGTGGTCTAAAACATCTGCTTAGGTAAGAGTATGGACTGTGATTTGATCCCGGCACCACATGCTGTGTTAGCCCTGCCCCCAAAGCAGGCTGAGCTGCAATCCCCCCCCAAAAAAAAATTATTTTTTTTTTTAGATCTTCAACCCATTTATATTTTAGTTTAGTATAAATGTGAGAGATACAGGTCAGCCTTAGGTTTCCCAGCAGCATTTGCTAAAGAGGCCATCTTCTAGTATGTTTTTGGTCTCTTTGTAAAAGATCTTGTGGTTCAGAAAGACTTTTGTTCTATTTTATCTAAAGTCTATTCTTTTTGAGTTTTCTGGTATATTTCTGGTCTTTGCTCTTGTATTTATTTCTACTGCTTTTACTTCTTGTGTTTATTCCATCAGCCACATTTCTGCAGTAAGTCGGTTGTCCTGTCTTCATTGTCAGACACAGAATTATTTTTCTTCTTGTGACACTTGACAACTAGTGAGAACAATACTTTATTTCTGGTTTTTTGAGACAGGGTGTCACTATATAGCCCAGGCCGGCCTCATAATTGTGGTGATCCTCCTGGCTCAGCCTCCTATGTGCTGAGATTACAGGTGTGCACCACCACACCTGGCCCCCATTCTTTTGCCTTGACAATATCTAAAAATGATAACCTAAGTGGAACCCTTCACAGTTGTGTAAAGTAAGCATTTCTTTTCCTTTCCCTGTCTTCCTTTTTTCGGGGGGGAGGGGGAAGAGGGTATTTTTAAGAACTTTAAAATACTACTGCGAGGGAAAAGGTAAGAATCATTTGTGGAGTCTATGTGCTAAATCTATAGTAGGTTCTTCTTTAAGCTTATATGTAATAACTGTAACATACTCTCAAGAGATCCTAGAGCTACAGGGAACTATTTGGCCACATTCTTCCTACGTACAAAATACCTGGGTATGTGGCAGCTTGGATAGGCTCTGTGCTCACACGATACACAATACAGTCACCAGCAGTACAACACAGAGTAAGCAGTAGCCAGACAGGTAGCACAGGAGAGAGTAGGGGAGGAAGGGCTATAGCTCCAGTTCAAAGTGGGCAGGACACAGGAATGGGGGCTGCTTCTGTACTTGTCAAGGACAGTACCATGTAAGAGACCATGCTCTTTCCTTCAGAAGCAGTCCAGCAGTGAACGAGGGGTAATGACACCCAAGCCTCCAGGAAGCCTCTCCACAGCTTGCACTCCCGCCAGCCAGCAGCGCTCACAAGGCCAGGCCCAAGGCCCTGTCAGGAGGAGCGCTATGAGTCTAAAAGGGTCAGCTAAGCACTCTGTTCTCTCAGCGACGAAAATGAACGTCAGGTAAGGAGTTCACTTCTAAAGTGTAGCCAGGGGTATGATTTCAGGTAGACGGGATGTAAGTAAAAGGGAAAACAAAAGGAGCAGCAACACAAAGATCAGTTTTAAGTTCTCATCTTTCTTTACATTAGGGCTCAGTTTTGTTTGATCCAACTTTCTTAGGCACACATTTGGTAAGTAATGATAGTAAGATATATTTGGTTAATCTTTATTTTTTTATGTTAGTGATATTTTTCCTTTTGGAATTCTATTTACTGAATTAGGCTGGAATATGAGGTACCTATAATTCATGGTTCTAGATTCATTTAAT